ACCTTTTTATGAGCTCTCTTCATCTTACCTTGCCAATTTTACCCTATCCCACTCTCCCACTTCTTTGCCTCCACTTCATGCCTAGCACATTTTCCAGATGCCAGCCCGACTACACTGCTGTTTCCTAGAATCAATGCAAACTTCCTTCCTCTTTTTGTAAAATTAAGTTTCTTCTGCTACAGCATGCTCCTACCCATACTCCCCATTCATTCTATGAAGCTAAGCTAAAAGGTCATCTCCATGACATATCTCCTGAAATCCCCATCTAGAGCACATCTCTCCCTGTTCTCCAGGCAAGAGGCACTTTGTTCATGCATTTTTCTTGATTTATGCCACACCATGTTTTTTATAATAGCTGTATGAGAAGATTCTTTTTATCCCTGTGAGAATGTAAAATCCACGAAGACAAGAACACTGTCCAATTTGTCTGTGATTTCCCATAGCACTTAACACAGAGACTTATGAGTTGTGGAATTAAGAAAATCTTGCTTGAATTGAATCTAACAAATTGAACTAAATTTTACAAAGTGGCCCTCAGTCAAGCCTCATGAAAATATATTCAGGGATCTTATGTTCCCATTTCCACTCTTACCTGTAGATAATCCCATCCATTTATGCCTTGAGTGATTTATAAGAGTAAGACACTTTGCTGGGCATTGAGGTGAGAAGGATACAGGGATAAATTAGATACAGTCCCCAGTCTTATGAGCTTATAGTCTAGCAGGGGAGACAAATTTTCAAACAATAATTCAAATTTTAATCTTGTTTTAAGTCAACATAGGATTCTAATGATTCTGTAGAGTCATCCATTCTACCAAAAGGAAATGAGAGGCAATTAAGTGAGTAGGATTAAGAGGGAAGATGATTAAAGAATGGAAAGTATTTCAGTTGGAGGGAGGAGCTTGTAGTTTTAGTCACAAAGGGAGACCTTGCCTGGCATTTGTGGGACACTGAGTAGGAGCAGAGGGGAAAATTAAAAACAGGATGCTCTTCAGGACATGGCGTAATGTAAGGACCAGACAAGAGTACCCTGGAGTTCAGATAACCCGCTGTTGGACAGTTCTGGTGACCCAATGTCTCAAGAGCTTGAAGATATTTGAGTTCTTGTGCAAGTAGATAGGGTGGGGGTGAGGGTGGGCTAGAAGTGGTATATGTCATTGTTTCTAGAAGCAGAGAAATTGACTCTTTCCTTCCTATTTTCATGATTCTCTGCTCACCTATTACATATCAGGCATGATGCTGAGCTTTAAAGATAGAGGGGTGAATGAGATACACATCTTGAACTGCCCTCCCTCATCCCCCGACAGAATTTCCAGTCTGTGACAGAGCCAGACAAAGAATGATGACTCTTCAAAGGGACAAGAATTAGGACATATCGAAGAACAGAAGGCTATGACCACAGAAAGTTGAACCCTTCCATCAGGTCAGGGCCAGGGAGGGGATCAGGAAGGCCTGTGGGAGGAAGGGGGTTTGGTTGATTGTGAAGGAAAGAAAATGAAACTGTTGGTCTCCAAGGAGAAAAGCATTTCAAGTTGAGGAAAGAGCCTGTAAAGTGGTTGCAGGGAAAGAGGCCATAGTGCTCTCATGAACCTGCAGGTGCTCTGTGTCCTTAGCGCTCGGGGCACAGGGCAAACTGAGGAAGGAGATGAAGCATCAGAATTGAACATGGTTTTGTGAAGATGATCAATCAACAAATCTAACATCTGAGCCTTTTGCTGAGCATGTAAATATGGGAGGACTGTTTTGGAAGAAGACTGTTAAAGGCATTGCTGCCACAAGGCTAGTCTATGAGCCAGATGCATCAGCACCAGCTGGCCGCTCATTAGAACCACAGAATCTCAGGCCCCATTCATACATCCTTCTAGGGCTACAGAAGCAATAGTTTAGAAGATGAGCTGAAATCCTGGCTCTGCCATCTGCCAGCTGTGACCTTGATCTTGTCACCTCTTTTCTTTGTACCTCAATTATCAACAAGAAAGCTGAGATGGTTGCAGAATGGATCCTCATGATACTTTCAACTCTTAGGGGTGGGGTGTGTGTGGTAAATTCCAGAGGATATTGATGGAAGGGCTGATTATTTTCTAAACTGGCTAATACACACTCACTCCTTGGATGGTCCACTATTTAGAAGTGTGCCCCCAAGCCTGTGGCTAATGGAGAAGATCGTCAGAAATCAGAAACATGCATGAGAAGCAGATCATCTGGGAAGCCAGCCCTGCAAATACTCACCACTTGCCTGGTGTGGGCAGCTTAGAGGGAGGCACAAAGATGCTCCTTTCGGTTCCCTTCCATCAATAATCTTGCTTCTTTTTTAATCAAAAGAAAAAAAAACACACAGATGCTATTGAAATGCACATTTCTATCTTCAGCTAAGATCTCTTCTTCAAATTTGAGTTGTAGATCTGTAGTGAAGGCTCATACTTTTATGTGACTTTGGCTTCCATTTTGAATATAAGTTTAACTTTTTTTGTGTACCACAGCAGGATTCCGCTAGTCACCCTTGACGTGGTTCCTAACTCTACATCTCCTTCCAATTCCTCAATGTGGTCAATCCAGATATTTGTCACACATCCAGAACAACACAGCAAAGCTTGCTGCCTGGGCATTAGAAGTAGAACTCTCCACCCAAATGGCTCAAACCAGTGAGCAGACATAAGAACTTGGAGGCATCTTGCAGGCCTAGCACAATGGGCTCCCTGCTTTCCTACTACTTCCTTTAAATGGATCACTCAAATATTTGCCAGTGGATTTAAAGTGAGCCACACTTTATTCTCCAATGTACAGTCAGTGGAATCTCTCTCCGTCCCCTGTCCTTCTCTGACTCTTTATCACTACCTTTTGTGACAGGAGATGGAGGGGTGGCTCATTACAACCTCCCAGCTCAGAATCTGTAAGTAAAAAAAATCTTTGAACATATTTTCTGCTGTGGGGATTATTGAATTTGTGCTTTTATCTGAAGAATCAGGTGCTTCCCCAGACAGGGTTTTCCCAAGACCCTGGGAAGAACACAAAGTCGAGTTCCCAGAGCCAGAGCAATGCTCAATCAGGAATGAACTGAACAAAGGTCAGACAAAAGCCACAAGAAAACAAGTTTCCTATGTGTGGGACCCCCTGGCCATGAGCCAGACAGGCGTCATTCCAGAAGTGTCTCGTGGATGGCACACTGTAAACACATCAGGGTCCCCTCCATTTCCTGTTAAGGCAGAGTTGCTAGACACTGGGGCTCCGGAACACCAATGCAACCAACGGCCCTCAAAACAAGTCAAATGTCCATCCTTTGTTTCTCCATGACATTAACCAGTCACCTTGACCTCATACCCAGGATTGAGCTCTTTATCCCCTTAACCCAACACTGACCATGCCATGGCATCCCTGGCTAGCAACATGATCTGCCCTACTGTTCACAGTGAACAATTTTCAGTCGTCACCCGGATGCTGAGTACATTCTCATTCTCTTCTCCCACAGCTCCATGGCCCAGGCCACCACTCACTTTTGCCCAGGCGAGAGCACAGGATGTGTGAGCATGCTTGGTGTTGGCTCACCACGCTGCAGCCAGGGCGATGATGTTAAAATACAGGTCAGGTCCCATGGCTCCTCTGCTCAGAATCTTCCAGGGACCTTCCATCTCACTCGTAGTACAATCCAAAGTTCATCTCACCCTATACAAGAGTCCGAATCTGCCCTCAGACCCACACCTTCTGTTCCTCAGATCACACCTCCTACTCCTCTCTTCTCCCACTTTCCTCCAGCCATCCTGGGCTTCCTGCCAGTGAAGAAACAATGACCCATTTGTGGGCTTCTGTCACTGACCCTTGCAGTTTCCCCTGCAGAGAAAGCTCTCCCCCACATATTGGCATGGATTCCTCTGGTCTCGCCTTGAAGTGCCTGTTCAAATGTCACCTTCTCAGAGAAAGCTCCTCTGACCACTCTCTATGATGACAAATCCTGCTCCAGCTCCAGCTTCCGGTTCCTTATGCCCTGCCCTCCAGCACCCACCCCATGCCAGTGTATGTATATGTACTTGTTTACCTGCCTATTGTTGTTCTACCCAACAGAGCTTTTCACAGGCATGGAAATGTTTCAAGTTTGTGGTTCAAGTAGGTAGCGCTCTTCACATGAGGCTATGGAACACTCGAAATCTGGCTAGTGTGACTGGGGATAAGAATACTTACCTTTATTAATTTCAATTAATTTAAAGTAGCTACATATGGCTTATGGCAATCATATTAGACCATGCAGAATTAGCGTCTCCTGCCACACACATTAGATCAAAAGCTTCATTAGGCAGAGATTTTTGCCTTTTTTGTCCACTTTTATGTTCTCATGGTTACTCAGAAAATATCTATTGAATGAATGGATGAATGAATGAATGAATGAATGAATATGCTGGGAACTTTCTGTGTATTATTTCATTTACTCAATAGTCTTGTTGGTTATATTTTTTGGTTCCAGGGTTGAACCCAGGAGATCTTAACCACTGGGCCACATTCCCAGCCTTATTTTTTATATTTTTATTTTGAGACAGGGTCTCACTAAGTTGCTTTGGGCCTCACTAAGTTGCTGAGGCTGGCTTTGAACTCACAATCCACCTGACAGATGTGTGCCCCCATGCCCAGCTTGTTGGTTGGGTTCCGTTTTAAAATTTCCTGGTACTCAGAGATGTGCAGTATCTTGTTACAGAAAACCCAGCTAGCAAGAGGTAGGCAGGATCTGAACTCAGGGGTGTCTCTGGTGACATTCAGACCATTTGCCTTCCTGGACTTGAATGATGTGTTCTCTGTGGTCTTTTCTAACTCTGAGTTTCTGTGATTCTCTAAAAATTTTCTCCCTTACCAGGAAATGGAAGCATGTGGTTACAGCATGAACTGCATAGATGGGCCTTTATGTCAAGCCCCTGGTCAATGGCTCAGAATCCAGGCTCTCTTGGCAGAAAGGGCAGACCCACCTTAGGCCCATGCTCTCCCACTTGGTAACCCCAGCCCCGTCTCCCACGGCTCACCAGTTTCTGGGTCGCAGAGCTGCTCACAGGCATCTGTTGTCCTTTGTCCACAGAGGTCCCTCACCCACGGGGAGGTGGCATTGATCTGGTAATACAGGGAGAGCTTGGCCGGGTTTAACCAGTCGGAGATGTCCAGGTAGCTGCCTTCGCTCACCACGAAGCTGCTCCCTAGGGGTGAACAGAGAAAGACAGCTACTTTCTCCTCAATTTTAGGGTCTTGCTGCTGATGCTGTAGGATCAGAGAGGTGCATACAAACCACCATTCCCCTGCCCCTGACACCAGATCTCAGGAGTCTAAAGGCATTTTACTGAGCATTTATATTGTGACAGTAAGGTGCCATAAGTCAACAGAGGCAGAGGTAAATCAGACACGAGAGAGAGAGAGTTCAGCCTAGGGGTTAAGAGTAGGTCCTGAGGACTGAGGGGGATGTGGGTTCAAGTCCTGATCTGAACTAGCCATTAAAGTCACTCGGTGCCTCTGGGACTTGGGGATTTCATCTGTAAATGGAAATATTAATGAGGCCCACCTCAGCTGTGAGAATGAAATTAATTAACGTGGATGAAGTGCTTAGCCAGCACCTGACTTGTTCTAGTGAAGGATGATTAAATGTTAAATTTCAGGAGGAATAAAACAGCTAACGTCCCTGTCATCCAGGCACTGCCTCTAGAATAGGGACCACAAATGCCCACAGGGGTTGGGTGAGTGATTTATAGGAGAGACTGGCTGAGTGTAAAAAAGGAAAATAACATTCAGGCCTCCTGTCCTAGTCGTGTTATGGATTTTGTTGTTGTTATTATTTTTTTTTGTTTTGTTTTCTGCTGAGAGGGAACCAACCAAACCCAGGCCTTCGCCTATGCTGGACAACTGCTGTACCACTGAACAATATCCCCAGCCTGATTTTAATTTTTTATTGTTATTTTTATTCCGAGAAAGTTAAAGTGATAGAGATAGGGACACAGAAACAGGAACAGATTTAAAAAAAAGTCTCAAAGGAAAAACTCTGCAGTCACACAGTGAAACTTTTGATTTGGGAAACAGTAGGGATAAGGTGGGGTTTGGATCAAAGGGACACTGCAATCTATCACAATGGAGCAGCTGTGAAGCAGTTCCAGCAGGCTCTAACCCTGTGGGACTAAAAGCCAGGGCATCAGATCAGATTACCTTCAGGAGCGGCTGAGGATTCAAGTTTTTATTGTGATCAATATTTTTACAATGATGACGCAAATCTGTTCCTGAAACATACACAGGCCAGAATTCTCTGTTTTTGTGATCTGTGTCCTGAAATGCCCCTCATGAATTCATATGATAGACAGTTAACATACATACACTTACATGTGTATAGGCTAATATATTGCACATGCATGCATAATAATACATAAAATCATATGTGCACGCAAATATATTCCACACATATGCATCAGTGCACAAACACAGATGCATACATCATTTTGGGGTAGGCAAGAAACAGCCATTCAGGGTGGCTGAAAATGGGTTGTAAATGGTGAATGCACATAGATATCAATAAAGAAAAGCAAAGGTTGAATTTCACAGGGTTAAAAAAAAAATCTGACTGCAAACAGCACGAGGCTTCATAAAGCTGAACTAGAAGAGTGGTTCTGGATTCGCGGCAGATCTAGGAAAACTCCACTCCATGAGACATTCAATTGTGTTTCACAATTAATATGGCTTGGCTTCTCCCCTGTGTCTGCCTCTCTGTACTTCACTGTCAAGCTAAAAGTCTTCAGTGATGCAATTTGAATTCCCCACAGGAGGACTCAGTTAATAAGTATCAGATTGGTTTGACAGAGAGCTCTCTGTGACATCATATCAAACTCTGCTAACTGACCTAAGCTGGGACTCAGTTTGGCTCAGGTGACCTGCTGTGGTCCAACATGAAATGGTCAGGGAGGGGGAATCACAGTGATCTCAACTGGCTGCCAGAGCACCTAAGGCTGTGGGTGAAAAAGGTTCCCTGCAACAGGTAAGGGCAGAGCAGGCTGCGATGATCTTCTCTAACTCACATAAATATGATAATTTCTACTACCTAAAGAATGAGTTCCCAGGGAAAAGTTCAACTGACAACAGTATTTTTGGTGTGGATGGAAGAGGTGTCCACATAAATAGCAGGAGCAGACAACATCAGGTGCTGAGATAAGGAAATGACCACCCTTGAATCTGGCCCTAAAATCCTTGGCAGCTAAAACAGGGGGGAAAAAAAAAGGAAGGAGTCTGTTGGATTCCATATTTCACATTCCTGGCAAGTGAAGATATGCAAATCTATCTGCAAAGCCATATTTCCCCCACTGGAACTAAGCCCAAGCAGAAACATGTCACATGGGTCCTTGAGCAAGGCACCGAACATCAGTATCAACTACAGATTTTTCTTTTAAAAAGCACAGTCATGCTGTTTAAATGGATAATTCTTGTATTTATTCTCACTAAAGACTGAGGGATGGATATTGAATTGTGTCCCAGGGCTGAGTTTGGTTAATCCTGCTACTTCAGGAAAGCTACACAGTGCAGCGATAAAGAGAACAGTCAGCGAGATAGGAGTTCACATCCTCTTTCTGCTCCTTACTGGTTCTGTCAGCTTGTGCAAGAAAACAAGCCCTCAGTTACTACCTATGAAAAGCATGGATACCCACACCCTTCATAGAGTTAAGATCCAGATTCAATGAGACAAGTTATTTGTCTTAGGTCAGGATCACCAGAAAACAGATGCAAAGACAAAGACTGGTATGCAGGAAGCTTGGGGGGCACTCTTGTAAGGGGGTAAGCAAAGCAGGATTGAGCAGAGGGGGAAGTCAAACTTCTGGAAAGTCTCAACAAGTTCTAGTTGGTTCCATGGGCACTCTGGAACTGGGATGGTCCTTCTGAGCTGAAGTCAAGGCAGCCTTTGTACCTCTACCAGTCGTGGGCTGTGAGTTTTCCCTGGGGAACGAACATAACCTTGGATGAACTGTTCCCTTTCAATGAAGGACATTTCTCCAGTAAGAACTCATCTGACAGTGGACAACCACCAACGTTCCTGGTGGCTGGGGGAATGAGTAAGCCTTGGTGCTAACTGGAGACCGGGGTTCAGCATCACAATATCCACCCCTGTAAGTCCTGGGCACACTGTGAAATCTCACCTAACCAGAGCCATGTTGATTATTATTTGGACTTCTTATAAACTTGGATTTTAAATAGAATATTAGTTATCAGGTATCAAATATGAGAAGTATGAGTTTCCTTGGAAGGAACTGGCTTGAAAGTAGGTAGTTCAGACTAGATGTGCCTCCTCCCCAATCCACAAACCTAGCCCCCAGTGGGATGGAATTTGGAAATTGAGCCTCTGGAGGTGATTAGGTCATGAGAGAGAAACTCTCATGAATGGGATTCATACACTCATACACTCATACACTCAAGAAAGCTCCTTGCCCCTTTCACCTTGTGGGGACCCAGAAAAGATGATCGTTTGTGAACCAGGTAGCAGATCAGTCTGCCAGCATCTTGATCTTGGACTTGCCAGCTCCAGACCTATGAAATATATGCTTTCTGTTGTTTATGAACACCCAATCTATGGCATTCTGATAGAGCAACATGAATGGACTAAATCAGCAGGTTACCTTCACTTCCCTACACAGAGATGTACAATTGGTCTAATGGCAGAGGGGAGCTATTGTCCTTGGAATGTCTTCTGTTCATCCCTGGGAATGTGTAACACAATCTGCTCACTTAATCCTCACAACAGCCTTGTAAGATAGGTATTTATCTATTTTCCAGAAGGATACCATGAATTTTGGGAAGAAATTGATCTGGCCAGATCTGCACAATTAGTAAATGGCAAAAGTGAAAACTGAAGCAAGACGGTTAGCCTCCGGAGCTGGGACCTTCCGGTTATTCTAGGCTGTCTCGGGAAGCAGGGACTTTGGTTGGGTTGTTTTCTGTTCTCCTTTCACCACGCCTCCAGTAGTCTGCAAACTCCTTTAATGCATAGAGTATAGTGTTGGAGGACTTTTGTTTTCTCCAATAGACTGATTTCCTACAGGAAACAGGTTGTGATTCATTAGTCCTCATCAATTTGGCTCTTGGTAAAATGCCTATAACATGCTGGGAGTTTAGTGAATGTCAAGTACATTAATGATATCAAAAATTCCTTGTTTGACTAAGTTAAATTTCTTCTCACTTCATGGTATTATGAAGTAGAAATGCTTATGAATCCCCCCCCAATTTAGTATTTTTTTCATCCTGTGAAGGCCAGAAAATAAGACTAGTCTTTTAGACTCTCCCAGTTCAAACTAAAACTTGAACTTCACTATGTTGGTCCCTGAGTTCTCATATACCCCATGGGCATGGAAATGGATAACTAAAGTACAGACTCAGGTAGAAGGGTTTCATGGAAGGAGCAAGGAGATACAGCAGGGGCATACCGTACCAGATAGTGCAAAGGAGAGACTTTGTATCAAATTTAATGTGTTCATTTAACTAACACTGAGTAAACCTCTCCCTGTTTATTAAACAGACGTAGAGACTGAGAAATGGGCTGAATTCATTGAGAATATTATGGACTCAATAAGGGTGATCAAATAATATGTACAGATATCTATAATAAAAACTATAGTGGGTTGAGGACTTCCTGAAAAGGCTAGGCATTGTCTTTGGACATAAGAAGAAGAAAAAACAGGAGCTGACAGAGGAAGCATTGAGAGGTGGCCTTTAAGTTAGACCCCGAAAGATGGGAAAGGGAACAAGAAACCAGACAGAAGTCAAGGTAAAAGGAGCAAAGCATGACGAGCTATGTCCTCCACATTATATGGCAACCCATGTGATATTCACTCCATAAGGCCCAACTCCAGACCAGGCTCATACTTCCCCTAACCCTTTTAATACTTAGGAGGAATCTCACTCAAATAGTAGCTTCACATTCCATGCTGCAGGTTCACTCATTCATGCATTTGAGACACTATGCAGCATCAAGCCCTGCACTGGGCTCTCGGTGAATAAAAGCTGACATTTGCTACCAAGTTCATAGACCAAAAAGGCAAAGCAGACATGGAAACAATAAGGCAAAGCCTGAGTATCCATTCCCCTCCCCCGTTTCTTATCCCATCTTACTGAAGGCAAATCCCACACTTTATTTAGCTCTATAATCAGCATGGTCCCTAGCATGTAGTGGAGGCTCAGA